ACTCCTTCCTTCCCTTCATTCCCCTTTGTCTACTCAGGATACCTTTCCTATCCAATCTTAATTGAATCCCTCATTATCATCTCCAACCATCAAACACAAAACTCAATGTTTCCTTGGAATAATACTACTATCCTTTTCAGATGCCCTGCTGGGGCCACTTCTTTTGGCTTAGGGAGATACTCAAGTTAGTGGGAGAATGCAAAGTTGTGGTAAGGAAAATGAATTTGAATACCAATTACAATGGAGTTGGAAGACTTAGTAAAAAAGCATAAGCTAAGAGCAACCATCAGGATATAAAATGACATGGGAAGTGTATGAAGCATTCTGGATTCTGCACATCTATAGATAGATGTTATACTCAAGCATCTGTGCAGGTACTCTGAAAGTGAAAGGACATTCAAAGGTGTCTCCCTTCATTCTTGATGGGATTGACATTAGACCAGCTATAGCCTGAGGTGGAATATTGTTTTATTTCCATAAAATAGACCAAAAATATTGTTATATACATCAAATGAAGATTGCCTTTAGTTCTTTGAAGGAGTTGCCTCTACCACTTCTATATTGCTGCACTAATGATAAGATTGCAAAACACTAATGATAAGATTGCAGCATTTTCTGCAGTTCTCACACAAGGAGCCTCAGCTTACTATCTACTTCACAATAAATAAAACTAATTGTATTCTCATCGTCTACTGCATAGGGTATAAAATAAAACAGGCATAGTCACAAATGAGAATGATAATTTTTCAGCTGGTTGACAAAGTGACCCACTAAAATATGCTAAAATAATACCATATGAGTTCCATTACATTTTTGTAAGTGGTTCCTAGTTTTGAGGCAATTAGAGCCTCAGATGTCCTAGATCACAGCCAAGAACAGCATGTAAAGCAAATGAACCTTTAGGATGATGACATTTCACACATTAATATTGTACTTTCTTTTTTTTTAAATTTAGATGTTGATGGACCTTTATTTTTATTCGTTTATTTGTATGTGGTGCTGAGAATCGAACCCAGTGCCTCTCACATGCCAGGCAAGTGCTCTACCACTGAGCTACAGTGCCAGCCCAATATTGTACTTTCAAAAGCTTATTGGCATAGGATTGAGACACTTAATGTGAGGCATTGAACTCTTCATTTGCATTCAATTATTTATTTATCAAACTGTAGTAATAACAAATTACACCAAAATGCACAGGTATCTACACTGGCAGATTTTTATCCTAAGGTAAAAATAAACAAAAACATCTGTAATGAAATCATGTATAATGTCACATTTATTAATAAATTCATTTCCTAATAAAATACCAACTGCAAGCAACCCTCAGTTTCCACTTGATACACATATGCCTTTTACTGTTTTCCAATGCAGTTCCCAGAAAGTCTTCTAAACACAAATAGAGAACACATTACCTTTTTGTTTGTTTGGTTACCTGGAATGTGCATAAATTCTATAATATAAAAATTTTAAACAAATTATTGTTTAAATAACATTCCTCAGTTGAAAAGTTGACTCTTTTCAATAAAGTTGGTTAGGCTTCTAATAAACTTCTAATATCTTCATTGCTGATATAGGAATTTTAAAAAGTATAAAATGTTTCAAAGTTAATTATTTTTCTTATGAAATAAAACAAATCCTCATTGTATATAAGTCTATACACAAATATTAACATAAATAAGTGTGGACATAGAAAGAAAAACATGTACCAAATTTCAATAATAGTATTTAATCTCTCAATTCACAAATATAATCTCATCTACTGATATGAATATCTTAGAATGCTATGTTTTCTGGTCGTAAAACTCTCCCTGTTCCCTCCTACCCCAAATGCACTCCTCAAATACAACATGTCAACCTCCTCTCAGTTGAAGAGGAGGAAATACTGTGATTGCTCTCTAGATAAGCCTTTTTGGTAATAACTCCAAGTAATGCTACCACTCACCAAAGATGGCTACTCTGACTAGGGATCCGGAACCCAGGGCCTGGAATTCTTGGCGCCAGGAACTGGGGCTGGATTCTAATGCTAAGTGCTTTTGAAAGTGCATCAAGATTTAATAGGGTGAATTTTCAGACTTGGTCAGAATTTTAGCCACATAAATTCCATTAAGTTCAAAGCTCCATAATGCTCCAACCTGTCTATATTTATGCTCACATTTTAATCTACACCCTTCTAAGCTCTCTGTTGGGCTTTCTAACCTCTCATTTTCTTTTCTCATATTTTGGTTTTCACATTGCTCCTGAATTCTGTATATCACCCTGATGTTAGAGCCCTAAGCTTCTCTCTACCTCTCCTTAAAATCCTTCATTGAGATCCATATTTTAAAACAAAATCTCTCTTCACTGATTTCCTATCATGATTTTCTTACACCTGACCCATTTTTCATACAAAGCACCACCAAAGTCTATTTGTATCATCCCTAACAGTTGCATGCACATAGGCTGCTCCTTGGATAATCATCTCCAGGGTTGATGACAGCTCAGCTTCTGTTTGAAAATGTACCTCTCATTGGCGTGCTGGAACACTGAGTGAAAACATGAAGGCATTTCTGAATCTGGGTCAGCCATTTTGTGAATGTATAAGAGAGGATTACAACGGAAGGGATCTGACTGGGTCTGCAACCTGTCAGTTTACTAATGAGGTATGGAAACAGGCTAGCAGGCTGCCTTATGGAGCAGTGATATTTCCAGACCAGTCCTGAGTGATAGCACTACTGTGTAAGGAATGAATAACAAGAGATACCAGGGCAAGGGAAGGGACAAGAATGACACCCCAATCTCCCATTATAGTGTTCTTGTTTTTTCAGTACAGTATATCATTAGGGTTTTATTTTTTCCATTATAGTCTTCTTTTTTTTCAAAAAAGATCTTTTTTGATTTTTAAGTATTAACACCCAATATTAAATCATACCATAGAAATTAGTATTGGGATTTCTTAATGACTACACAGGAGTAGAACAGAGTAAGACACATACAGATAGAATAGAATTAGAGAAACACACCTGAGGATGAATTGTCTAGCTTGTTTACCTTTTTCATGTTATTTGATTAACATTATGGCTTTGAAAATATAATCAAGTAACCATTTTTGAAATTCATGCATTCAACAAATATTTATTGAATATCTACTATGTAGCAAATATTTGCTAAGCACTTGAGATACAATGAATGTATCTATTCCTTGCTCTCAAGGAGCTTACAGTCTAGTGGAGATGACAGACACATAAACAAGTAAATACAATACAATGAAATAAGTGCCAGTCAGGACGTATATAACAAGCCAATAGCACCATTCAGAGGAAGCTGGGAGAAAAGGCGATATTTCACAGAGAAAGTAATGACTGAGCAGACCTTAAGGAAAAACAGGACTCTACCAGGAAGACAAAGGAAGTGTGGCAAAAGACATTCTGACTTAAGGGACAGCAGGAAAAAAAGCAAGGAAGAGTGATAAAGCATGACATGATAGGGAAATATGGGTGGCTCCATAGGTTGGGATTTCATCTGTGTATGACAAAGTGGTGAAATATGGGGCTAGAGGGAATATGAAGCCAGAGTAAAGAGCCTTGTATATGGGTCTAGGAAAGTTTGACTATTTCCTAGAAGTGATAAAAAGGCATTGAGGAGTTAAAAGGAGGGAGGGACTGACATGGTCTGATCCGCCTTCTAGATCACCTATATGAATAATGGTTAGGAAGAAAAGTGATACTAGAGGGAGGGAGACTGGTGAGGAGGGGCTAGCATAGCAGTCCAGGTGAAAGATTTGCCTCCAGGTGGTTTGAAGGGAGTGAGAGTGGAGAAGAGGTGACAGACTGGAGACATACTGAGGAGGAAGCTTGACAAGACTTGAGAAATGATGATACAAAAAGAAAATTGGCCTCAGAAATAAAACAATATTAAAAACATTCATCCAGACAATACAACCAACAGTAACAGGCCTCCCTTCCTTTCTTTCTGCTCCCATGGTCCACTGAAATCATCACATCTACTGAGGATGAATAAAGTCAGAAGAGCTATAGAGCTCATATGGTCTGACTTTTCTAATTTAGACAACCTAACTTGGAATCTGTAACACTTCATAGATTGCCTATCACTCCTACTGAGTAAGAATTGGAATCTGCTTTCTTCTCTGTCTCCATTCAAGTCTTTATTCACCAGCAACAGGAATCCAATCTATAGGCAGTGACTTCTTCCAATCAAGCACTTGAGATGCAGTACATAGCCACTTATACAGTGATGTTTTCAAGGAAACCAAATATATATCCCCCAAACACACACACACACACACACACACACACACACACACACACAGTCATGAGTCATTTCTGTGGGAGAGGTCATGGTCCCTCTGGATTTCTCTTTAACAAGACAATGAGTCCTGAGACAGGTAGGATACTTAGTTGTTCTAAACTCAATAGGATTTGGTTGATCACAGTACCTTTTGCTTTGACAGAAGGCGAGAAGGTAATGCAGAAGGGTAGACTGAGGAATGCAGAAGAAACATTAAGATCTTACTAAGGAATAGCCCTATAAACATTCATGAGACTAAGATTCTGAAAGAATACCTTCAACTTCTGGTTCCAGAAAAATCACACTTTACATTCTTCTAACTTAAGGAAATTCTGTGCTTTAGGTTTAGGATATACTATTGGCTAGTGAAGACCTATGGTGACTCAATCTTTTCATGAAACTTATACTACTTATGACCAACAAAAATCTCACATGTCATCAATGTATACGTGATAATACTGCAAACACATTTCCCCAAACTGTTTTATAATGCCAATTTTTCATTTGCTCAGACTGAACTTGTCTTTTGTTATTCCAAACAAAGGCGATTTAACTATATTTGTAGAGTGTTAATCAGATGTCACAAGTGAAAGAAGATCAAGAATCAAACTCTGACCTTGAAGACTATTATATACTGCTTAATAAGGTACATAAAAACTGCTATAGAGGTTATAAAAGTGTACCCCAAAAAGGAAACAAACTTAAAAATCACTTACTTCATTTGTTTGAAGGATCGTGAACTTTGGCAGTTTAGTCTTTGAACTGGCTGTGCTGGGTTTTCCATCCAAGAGTGATCCAAATGACAGATTCCCAAAGCTGTTCTCAAATTCAATGGAAGGTTTCAGTGTTGGAGAGATGTCTGGTGCCTGATCCTGGCCATCCATGGGTCTTACATATGCAGTTGGCTTTTGCTGTCCCATATTTGTTTTGCAGTAAAGCCCTGGTGGGAAGTTTTGAACTGAAAGGCCACTGCTAGGGGCTAATAAAGAGGAGGCCACTAGGGGAGACCCAGGTGCTTGCACTGTAAATTCAGAATCTTCTGGAGAATTAGATTGAAAGATTTCTTTGAAAGCATCTTCTCCCCCAGACTTGGGGTTACTGTCTTCCTTTGCAGATGGGTTTGACTCTTCAACTGCACCAATTTGGGGCTGTTCTGCTGGGTAGACAAAGAAGTCTTCAAGTCTTGCTTGAGGCTGATCCTGTGTGGAAGTCTGCATCTTGTTTGGCTGACTACTGGCCTGGCTTGCTGGTACTGTGGTAGGATTATGACTATCTCGTGGCCAGTCAGTCTTCGGTTTTCTGTTGCTGTGTATTAGAGTAGAATTCAATATCACAACGGAAGGTGGAGGCATTGGTGCCGTGAGGTGGGTATTATCCTGGTGAGATGGAATCATTCGGTTCTTTTGTTCTGGAAAAAAGCTTGGTTCATTTTTGTTGATGGGAGTCTGGGGCACAGAATTCTTTGGGATTCCCACTAGATGATTCTGATTAGAATGGTTAGTAAGCAAATCCTTCATTTCATCATAGTTTCCCAGCGTGTTCTGGACTCGGTTGGCAAGGGCATCACCTTTGTTTGTCTAAAATAACAAAAAGATGGGGGTGGGAGGAGAGACAATGAATAGGTTTGTGTTTCCTAATGTTAATGCTTCAAACAGATGCCTTAAGCAGACTAGTAGATAGGATTCTTTAAAATTCCTGTTGCCATCTAATTTCATACTTTTTATGTGCTATGTAAGAAAAGAAATCAATAATGCTATTGGAAGAGCCTTTTGGAATGAGCAAGTATGATTAACAACTGGTATATTCCCTGGCCTATACTTAAACATGCTTGCTGGGAGAATGGTTTTCAATTACATCATTTATTCATTTTATCAGAAAAAAATTCTTCTATTTTAGGTCAGATGAGCGGAATTGTTTTATTTTACTTAACAATTAAAAACTTCCCCTTACTGATCAGAGCAATTATAGTGGAATATTCCACTTATCTATGTTTTGAACCTATCGACATTTGTACTACACATTATACATGAGAAAGTCTTAGCCCAATGGGTAAGAACATCAGTTGAGTTTTGCTAGTCTGATTGTACCAAGTTTAAAAGAGGCATGAAATTAAACAACTTCTAATTGTGCTAACATATGACTAAACTGAATCTAATTCCTTTTAATCAAAGAACTGTATAAATTACTGGTGTCTGCCTACATATTCTGGGGCAACTGTGTTTACATATTGGTGATTCATACTCATTTACTTTGAAATGATGCAATTGTTCATCAACAGTGACTCAAGCTCTCCTGTGTCTTTTCAGTGATTTAGACAAATTATTCAAGAATTTAGATTGTTGCTTAAGTAAATCAAAACAAAGTCATCTTTTCAAAGTGATTCCATGCGTAGGCGTTACAGAAGCAACCAAATCAATCTATGGTCAATCAACAGACTAGCTACACCATCCTCTGTAGGATATACTAATCCCATAAAAACAGTTGTGTTATTTTTTAAATAATTAAGCTTCTGCATGGGTGTTTGTAATACAGAAAGCAAAGCTTTCATGACTAAAAAATGTAGGGTAGCTGTATATACTTGGAAATGACTTTGATGATAGCCCAGTTGTTCATCCTCAAAAATGACTTTTGTTATTCTCTTTATATGCCAAAGAGGTTATCAAAATAAGGTGTTGAATTCAGAAGGGCAAAGGACTTGTTTTGGCCTGGGCTGTATTTTCCTGGTCCAAGAAGTGACAACAAAAGTAAGCTACTCTTATTCATGGAGCCATGAGGCAACTAGGCCACTAAATGAAGAAGGCACTACCCTATGTGGCCGTTAGGTCCCAGAAGCCATAAGCACCCTCTCTATTAAACAGAGGGGTAACTACCTTCCCACTGTTGCACTTTCCACTGAAGAGAGATGTTTAACATCTAAGGTATCCCCTATGCTTTCATACTGCCAATATCCTGGTGTATATTGGGAATTTAACTAACTATCCAAGTCTGGTGGTGTCTCAGTGTAAATCTAGGTTTGATTGTGTGTTTGTTGTTCTCTGTATGTGAAGATGGGAAAATATGCAGATGGATGGATGGTGAATTGCCAGAAATGAATGAAATCACCCAGAGAAAGAAAATGTAGAATGAGAAGATTGGGTTCAGGCAAGAACTCTGGGAAACATCAACCTTTAAGAGACAGGGGGAAGAATAGGAGCCAACAAAGGATACCAAGAAGGAAAAATCACACTGAGAAACAAACTAGAAACCTTGGCCTCATTATTGGTACATTCTCCTTGTAACTCATACCATGTGTTAAACCATATAAGACATTTCCAAACAAACGAGGGCAGTTAGAATATGAATTTCAAAGATTAATTAAAAGTATGCTAAATATATGCTAAGGGAGTTTGTGGGGGATGGAAATCTTTAGAAATTGAATAAATACATTTCAGTTGGCTTATCCTCAAAAACATCTTATATTACATCATATGCAACCTTCGTGCTGAAGTAGTGATTAAACAATTAACATTCTCTAAAATCCTCAACTGAATAATCACTCCATTTTCAGAAGCACATTTGAAAGGCATATTTAAAAGGTACAGATGAATATAAATCACTTTTATTCCCTAAAACTCCCTAGGTTTGTTATTTTTAATGACAGAAATTACTTTGGAGCAAAAGCAAGAATAAACTCTTTGCATATAGCAGTACCCTTCAACAGAGTTTCACAATAAACCATTGGGCAACTGCCAAAACCGGTCTCTCTATTCTGTCCCTAAATATAAAACAAAGAAATTTCATTGTGCAGAAGGCCTAGCAAAAATTTGATATAAGCTTTAAAATTCTGCAGTGTTGCTGTGGCCCCTCCCACAAATTACCCCTGAGTCACTTGACTGAAAGGCTAAGGAACACTGGTACCTGACTATATCCAAAGATAGGGTCCTATCAGGAGAAAACACCATTCCATGTCCCTTTTGAAATGCTTTTATTTTCCAAATGGCTTTGGTTGAAACATAGTTCTACAAAATCAGAATTTTGCCCTTAGGTGCTGAAGAGACCACTATAATACCCCATTTCCCTGAGAAGTCATTCCCCTCTTTCAGGACAGAAAAACTACAGGTCTCATTGGTTTGCAAGCAAGCAAGTCAAATTACTGTTCTTGTTTCAGTAGTACATAGATGGGACATGTTCATCTTATCCTCAGTGGGAGGAAGTACATCTCTTTATTTATGTTTACTCTTTCAATGATATTGGTTTCTGAAGCATTCTTACAATTTTTGCACTTCTAGGTTTGAAAATAGGAGTACTTCTAAACTGACCAATGTCTAAAACTGTGTGTATGTGAATAAAATTTAGGGAAAATTGAAATTTTTTGAACAAGTCTAAAATTCAAGCTACTATAAAGTATATACTACTACAACTATGATTTCTTTCCTGCTCAAAAAATATATATTTGTTAAAGGTCAGAGATCACCTTTTATTCATCTTTATATCCCCAAAACTTAGCACCATGTCTGGTGCATATTAAGTACCCAGTGTATTATTGCTGAACTGGACACAATCAAATTATAACTCATGCCCTGTTTATATCAAAAGAAAAAATCACAATAGCTTGGACTAAAGGCATATAAATAGAAAGACAAATGTTAGGCTAATTTGGCCAGTATGACTGGACAATAAATTGAAATCTGAGCTTCCTAGCTGCTAAATCAAAAAGGAAAAGCTCGTAAGTTAACAAGTTATTTTTATATCGCAGAAGGAAGCATATCTTTATCCATTAAATGAAGTATATGAGACATTAAATGCCTGTGAAAAGGAACCTTTTATGTGAAAAGGAACCTCTCTTTGGCTTATTTACAAGAATCTTTGAAGAATAAAACAAACCATTTTTTCACCTCCAATTTTCCAGAAGATGCAAAGCTGCTTCTCACATGCTTCTTATGAAAACTACAAAAGCAAAAGCATTGCACTAACATCTAGCTTAGTGAAGACATGTCTACATGTTGAGTTAAGAGTCTACACTAATATAATCTGGGTGTGTGGCTGTCTTGTGCATTTATGACATAGGAGTAGAGCTGTGATAACCTGTAAGAATCAACTGTCATCTCCCTTAGGATAGCTTCCTCAGAGAGCAACTATCTAAATGGGACTTGTGACACGAACTGCATAGCAGGCAATTCAAGGTTGAGTTCACTGGCAACACTTTGTGAGTTGCTAATTAAAGGAAGATTCATATGCTTTACACAACATAAGTGCTGTGGCTTCAAGTAGGAATTACTACGGTCAATGACCTGACAAAATCTGGTAAGTTCAAAATTCCCATGAGGTATGGTTAAGCATAGAGGACTCATAGACACATGGCCTCAAGAAGTCCACTATTCAACAATCACCAACTAAAAGTCCAGTGCAGGCAGCCAGATAAACTCTGTGCCTTCCTGCCATTGTAGATGGACAATGTCCATTTCTCAAGATGTAGATATGAAATCCACTGCATAGAAAACCCAATGGGGCCTGAAATGCATTCATATACTCCTACACAGTGTGCTCTCATTATACACCATAGCAACTTATGATTCACACTAAATGTTCATTTTCACCCTCCAGAGCCTTAGTAATCCTATTAAAGAGGAAGGTATTCTTGTCAGTCTTGATCGAACATCGTAAACACGCCAAAGATGAATTTTAGCCATTTCAATCAATTATAGGTTCTTTCAATTTGGCCAATTCTTTACTTCCCGTTCTAGATAATTGGTTGATTCCTTAAAGGTAACCTCTGCAGCCATTATTTTCTAAGTAATCACTATTTCTCTATCATCAAGGAAATGCATTTTCCAAGTATTTTCAGGCATAAATTACATGTCTGTTTTGTGGCTCATGACTAACAGCAGTCCTTCATTTAAGCTTTTTGCCTTTCATTACTTTAGGAAATGCAAACTTCCCTCAGTTTGCTTCTAATGCTATCTACGCAAATCAGCAGTATAATTTCATTGCCAAACTAATGTGCGAGGAAGCTATTGTACCATAGTATTTCTTTTTAATAAAAGAAACAAAATAATTGAAGTTTTAAAGTTCATTTTCCCTTTCATTTTATTGGGGATAAACTATGTGATTTAGTAATTCCTTTTTTCCCCAAATTTAATATTTTACAGTTAATTTCTCTAAGCTGTAATTTGCTATTTCTTCTTTATTCTAATTATAATAATGACAATACATTGAATTTATGTAGCACTTTACAGATTTCAAAGCAAGGTTATCCAGGTTGTTTTCATTTGTTCCATAAGAAATTATGTGAGTCAGCAAAGTAACTTTGGTGATCATCTGGCCTCTGCTTGCCCTAGCACAAATGACTTTGGGTAATGCACTTAATCCTCTCTTCATCTCGGTTTCCTCCTTCTTATTGAGCTGTGAAAGCCTTAATGTGTTACTATTATTATTAATTGTTATGGTCCACTTCAGAAAGGAGGAAACTATGGGTTAGAGAAATGAAGCTTCTCCCTGATAGTTACCTAGCAGGTAAACTTATTGAGTCTTCTGATTTCCTGTCAGAAGATAAACAACTTCCTGTTACAGATACAGAATCACAAAGAATTGAGTACAAATCTACATATACCATATGGGAGTATATGAAGGTACAGAGAAGCCAGTTCACTTCCCTGACCTAAAATTCCCCAAGAAAAATGTGGGGGAAATTTGTGCTCCATTTATTGTAAGGAACTAAACAAGCACATCCAGAAAACCCTAGCACAGTTCCTGGCATACAATATGTGCATGCCAGTTCCTTATCAGCCATCTACACTAACATATCTTCATTTTTATGAGGTACTTTTAAAGAAATCCTTTTAAGTAGTGTAGCACAAACTTATAAGCCCCAGAAAGAAGTCCCCCACACAACAACCAAATTTGGAGAAAGTCAACATTTTTCCCATTCTGAATGTGGTAGAGGCAAAGCAAAAAAGGAAAAGAAACCACCTAGGAACATAAGAGATCACTATTTCTTCTTTCTGTCAAGAAAGTAAAATAATTCCTAAGGACTAGTTGATGAACCATTGATGATACCAGACAAGTGATCAGGTCATGGTTTACACTTTGTATAGCAAGATGATTCCCAAAAGTCTTGATTCACTACCAGAATTTTTCATTTTCAGCTTGTAAATATTTCTACTACATTCCCAGGGAAGAGTTATGGTATGTCCTCATTTCTACCAATGGACTATTAACCAGTTCTAGGACTCCCATCACCCCTGACACATCCAGATACTCCAAGGACATCCACCTCAGTCTATGTCTGGGGAGTCTGTGGATGTGTACAACAGCTGCAGTGTCACAACATGATGGGAAAAAGAGGACTATGTCCCAGTGATTTCCCAGAAAAAAATTGAATATGGACACAGCACAAGATGAGAACTGATCAAACCAAGGATGAAAAAAAAAAAGTTACTAGGTCACAAACTGTTAGCATAATTACTTTCCTTCATAGTTTTGACTCAAGAATAGAGACTTTTTCCCCATAAATAAGCACAAAAGACAGTAAATGACTAATCACACCACAGGCCTGGCCCTGAACTAGACTAAATGTTCCCATCTGTGTCTCTACCTGATGCACCCTTGTAGTATCAAAACAGATGGCTTTTGAAAATTTCTGACAACACTGAGAATGGGTATTTTTTTCAACTATCTTCTCAAGAATACATTGCTATCATCTAAAAATATACATGTATGTATATAAAAAGTCTTGTTAAGAGATGGCAATCACCCTAAAGGTGCAAGACCATTGAACCTTTGTGACTTAAAGTTATGAAAGGAGAATACATCAAGGGTTCTTCACTACATAATAGGGTTAAGGATGGAACAGATATAGAATTTGAAGACTAAAATCTCTTTGTAGAGCTGTGTTTCTAACTCATCCAAAGATAAGATGTAGAACTAACTCATTTAGTTGTTCCTCATTTATCTCTGGAAGAAACAAACTGTCTATCATCCTTTGACCTCACCTCCAAAAATGGAGACCACAACTCCTTGCTCTAATTCCAGTATTCCTTCCACTTTCTATTTTCACTCATTCTAATGTTTTATCCCCAATCTTCCTACCTCTGACTCAAGATTCTTTACCTATGCTCTAAGTTGTGGTTTGTATGTGAGGTGTCCCCCAAACATTCACATGTGAGATAATGAAAAAAAGTTTGGAGGAGAAGTGATTGGGTTATAGCCTTAGACTAATCAGTGAGTTAATCCCTGCTGGGATTAACTGAAGTGGTAGGGTGTGGTTGGAGGAGATGGGAATTGGGGCGTGGCTATGAGTATATATTTGTATCTGGCAAGTGGAGACTCTCATGCTTTCTGATCACCCTGATGCTCCTTCCCTCCATCACACTCTCCTGCCATGATGTTCAGCCTCACCTTGAGCACTGAGGAATAGAGCCAGCCTTTTATGGACTAAGACCTCTGAAACTGTGAGCCCTCAAATAAACTTTTCCTCCTCTACATTTGTTCTGGTTGGGTCCTTTAGTCACATCAGTAAAAAAAGCTGACTAAAACTGGTATTTTAAGTCTCTCAGGGAATTTGTTCCACTTAGCATCACCTCTCTCTGCCCCTACATCCTCTACCTTCTCCTTCTTCACTTATGTTGGTTCCTTCCCATGGATCTCGAAACATGCTCATGTTTCTCTCACACCAAAAAAATAAAAATAAAAATAAAAGAAAATAATTCCTCCTGGATGTAATTAATCACTTTACTTTCTAACTTATCTTTCTTCCTTTATCCATATAAAATCTCTTCTGCAAGATGAAGTCTATATTGACTGCCTCTCTTTCTTTACTTAACCATTTCTTGTTTATTCTCCAAACCCTGGCAGTTTGACTTCCCACAATGACTACCATCAATAAATAAAATGACTCTCTGTAATGTAAATAATAGTTCTCAGATGCCAAATGTAACAGTTTCTTTACAATCCTTACCTTTCCTGATTTATCCAAGGGCATGTAACTAGAAAATCCTTCCTCCAACAATTATTTGTTCCCTTAGTTTCTATTAAATATTTCACTGCTAATTCATATCCAACCTATCTGATCATTCTATTTTAGTTTTTCCTGGCCTCTGTTTTTACCACCTGTTTACTTCTTAAATGCTGCTATTCCTCAGGATTGTCTTTCCCCTCTTCTTATACTATATTCTAATTTGATGATAGTATTAATTATTGTAGCTTTCACTGCCACCTGCATGCCAATAGCAGGTAAATCTCTGTCTTCCCCACTCCCATGAGCTCCAGATTCATATATTCAATGCCTGCTGTGTATTGTTTTCTTGATATCCCACTGGCATCTGAAGCCCAATATACTCACAGCTCACTGAATCATTTTTTTTCCTCTACAACAAGAAAAGATGTTCTCCTCCTAAACAACTTTCAATGATATCATCATCATCTCAAGTAAAAATCTCAGGAATCATTTATACTTATTTCATACTCTCCACACAGCTCAACATCATCTTTAGAAACTGTAAGTCTCTCCTGTTGGGACCATGCCCCGAATCAAAACATGTAGTGACTTCTCTCCATGACCAGAATTGTGTTTAAGCTCCCTGGAATGATTGATATTTCCCCTTCCTATCCTTCTAATGGTCACCATGCAGTTGGGCCATCACTTGTTCATGATGATCTCTGCCACTGGACTAAGAATTCCTCAAAGGCAGAGCCTGTGTTTTATTTCCTGTTGTTTATTGGTCTATGACAGTGATTAGTGCATAGTGGGACCTCAATTAATGTTCATTTAATTAAACATATATCTAAGTACAAATGTAGTATATAAATTGAATTGATTTGAATAAGAAAAAAGGGTTTTTTTATGAATTGTGCTAGTACTGACAAATTGAAAATCAGTAGCTTAGGTGACCTAAGCCTCTTTGTCAGTTTTCCCACACTTGGCAGGTACCCAAGTATCTCAATCAAGAACTCCTTACTTGTTCTGAATAAGGCAGAAAGATTCTAGCCTCACTAGCCACCAATCTAAACAACTTATTCTCTACTTTGAGGTAGTATCTGACCAAATCTGTCCTCATTAAGAACTATCCTTTTCCAAAAGTCACTATCCTTTAATTGATGCTCTTCTCAAATCAGAATTCTTTAAAATTTTCTCTATTGTCATTTTATTTTTACATCATTTTTGTTTCATTATAGAAAAGTACACTGGTACTAAATTTAATGAAAAATGAAACAGCTGCCAGCAATTGAATAAGATCCTTCCATCAAAATTTCTTCACAGTCTCCTCTAACCTCCACCCCTAGTAGAAAGTTCAGAGGCAGGCATTGTAAAATAAATACTTGTAAACATAGCAGTTTCATCACTATTGGAGCTACATACCAGCCAGAATACCACTAGAAAATTGGCCTAACTAAACTACCTCCTTAGGTTGAGGCAATCTCCTAACCCATGATTATTAACCACCAGGAAAAAGATTGGCTTTTTCCTTTATCTTAGGACAGTGATTTTCAAAGAGCACTCAAACCACTGAACAGCTGCTAACAACCAAGTGAAAAAAGAAAGTAATGTTCTTGCAATGGGTGGCACTGATTGGGAAGAGAAATAGGCATATCTGTTGACATTCTGATGAAGTCTTCAGGGGCTGTCTGGCTGAAAATCAAAGTCCTGGAAAACACAAAGATGGGGCATTCCTTGCTGCAATAATTGTAGGGCAGTAACAGGTTCCTTGGAGACAGGAAGTCTCACAGGTCTCCTTCAAATCTTACCATATTTCTCAAAGAACATGGAATTTGTCTCTGAAGACTTCCTCAGAAAGTTGTAATTACTCCAAATACAGCATATATATGTATTTCACTTGTAAAATATATTATCCTAGAAATTACTTAGGTGCTTTAAAATTAATGTTGATTAGTGATTTCAAAAACATAGTAAGCAACCATTTTCTAGAAAGATAAATTACATACATATTCAGCTACCTTGTAGGGCTCCCCAAAAAGATCAAAGCCTGAAGAAAAGAGATCGTCTTCTTGCTGAACTTCTTGATTCCTCCGCTCCCATTCCCTTTTTTTAAGTGCACTACGGTCCTGTTCATAGTGACTGAAATGAAAAAGAAAGAACAAAAAGAAAAAAGGTTAATTAGTCATGTGAATCAATTAGATGCCCCTTGTTATCAATAAGAATAAAAAACACAAGTCAACACAATCCAAGTTGATTCTGCAACTGAGGGCAGAATCCTTTTATTTATTCCCATTGGGTTGAAGATCCTAGAAGATTTTTCAGAATAAAGAAAAAAAACCCCAGAAACTTGCGTAGTAGAAATTATACTCAGGACCATGCAAGGATAGACAACTTCTTTCTCTTTGTCCTTGTTTATTACAAGTTACTGCATATACCCAAAAAATCAGTCCACTGTGCAGAAAAGTTATAAGTTAAAGTTACATCATGTTGCCAACTGCCTAGGGCTCAGACTCAAACAGCTGTCACAAATTCCCAAGGGAAAGGAATTACCTCTATGGAGCTGCAGATAAACTGGAATTCTGTCCTAAGTCCCTAGGCAGAATTAGCCTAATGGAATTGAAGGAGAGCTTAAACTGTCATTTGTAGAAATGAAGCATGTACAAATGGATAACTGAAAATCTCACACACTGCCTTTTTGGTGGTTGTTGTGTTGGTCTTTCTATAGTTTACAATAAGAATCTAAAAGCCTACAAGGGACACTCGTTATAAAGAATGGAACCAGCAATAAAATAAAGGATTTGCCAAAAGTCTTGAATGGCCTAAATGCACAAATTTCTTAGAATAATTCTGTGACTCATCACATTTCAGTCTTTCCCACTGTAATATCAAAAGCTTCCAGACAACAATTAAGGTATGTTCTGGGACCTTAGGTGTTAAATAATAGGACATCTCCTGATTGAGAAAATTATTTTCTTCCTCATGCTAGACTGCAAATTAAACAGAAATCTGAAAGTCTGATAGTATAGGTTGAGTACCCCTAATATGAAAATCTGAAATTCATAGTTTTCCCCCATCCAAAACATTTCAAGTGCTGATATGATGCTACAAGTGAAAAATTCCACATCTGACTTCAGGTCATGGGGAACAGGTAAAATTCAGGCACACTAAAATATTTTATAAAGTTACCTTCAGGCTAAGTGTGTAAGTAAAGTTCATATGAATATTCATATGATAAGGAATACTCAACCCCTAGTGGATTTTGTTCACTGTTTTTTTCTTCTGCTTTTTATGTTAGGCTAATTCAAAGTGAGTACATACACACTGAGCAAACTTAAATTATATATAAAATGTCTATCAACCAGGTGCTCTGTAAATGTTGGTTTTCTTTCCCATGTTCATATTACAATGTTAAGAATTAATTAAATACTTGACATGCACATGAGCATAACAGCTAAAGGAATTACAAGAGAATTACCAATATAAAAGTATAGTCAACAGGTTTTGAATACATCCAAGACCTTAATACCTGTCATTGGTAGGCTAATTTTCTCATGAATATCATAATTTTAATTTACAAAATAAGAGCCTAGAGTATGAATTAGCTACACAGTTAAAATAGCTATTGATATATAGAGAGTGTATGATGTCACTACACTTAATTATCCTCCTTTCTCCACAGGAATTCTTGAACTGTCAAATTCAAAGTGTCTTTAATAGCCATATCTTCTGGATAAAACACACTCATTTCTTTTTTCCATTTTAAGATGGTGGCAACATCCATAGGTTTTTTTTAAAAAAATGCACTGACACTTTGAAAATACAAACGGTGCTGGACATAGAAGTCTTCACTTGGCCACTCATGAGTATGTTCAGCACGTATTATTGCTGAATGAGGAAGGCAAAGAAAACCTCCAGATACCTACCCAATGCCTGGGCCTCACCTCTCTGCCTGTCTGAAAGATGTCAAGTTCAGATACTGGAAGGCAGCCTATTATTTGTACTCTCAGATGCCCTTCAGAGATATTATGTTTTCTGGTATTATCTTTCATTCCCATGTACAAGTTAAGATCAGACCTTCAAGTAGTTGCCAAGTGCCCACTGTCTTCATGTTGGGGGCTGATATGCAATCAAACAGGTGTAGTGACATTTGCAGCCCACTAAGTGCGCAGCACCAGATTGTGCCTGACACCACATATCAGGCAAGGGTAGTCCAATCCCATCAATTTATCAAAATGTAAGAAAGACAGAGTGCCAGGGGCAGGAGTGGAGTAACAAATTAAACCAATATTTAGAGGTGGGGGGAGGATTTGGGGCAAAGGAGAAAAGGGACAACTAATATTTTGGCCTTCCTTAGCAGACAATTCTCCACACACAAATGAGAACCAAAGTCTCTTGCTTTGAGTAATGTGAGCAAGATGTCAGTTTTCCAGTTATCTGTTCATTTCATGCACCTGACAGCTCAGAATGACAGGCCCATAGATCACATTTAATTCTCCCACGAAGAGAACTGAAGTGCTTTGGTCTCTTGGCTTTGCAAACTACCTTCTTTCTCCTCTGAGGGAAAGATATAATTAAAACCCTGAAGGAGAAAAAAAAGGAGAAGGAGAAGAAAAGGAAACGTGCTTCAACTTGTATGACAACCCTTCAAGCGGCCAGCAGTAAGGACACTTTCAGGGCTTTAGACCTGGCTTTGATTTGTTAGGGGGCTCTTGGCTGCATTTTGCATCAGTTCATTAGCTACCAAATTCCAGACGCAAATTTGAATAGCAGATTGAGTGTGCACACGGGTGTTATCTGTTGCAAGCAAAACTGCCTGCTGCATTTTTTAACACATCTAACAAAGAACAGTTAATTCTCATATCTCTGGTGAGAATGAATTTCCTCTCCATAGAGTTCCACTGCTCTTGGAAGGCAACCAAATAGCTCCAACTTTTTCCTTTCTCTCTCAGCATGGTGTTGTATTGAAAGCTTCACATGGCGAGGTCTAATGAGGAATGAACTACATGGTGATGAGGCTTTCAGTGTACAACGTCACTGATTTCTGACTGAAACCAACATTACTAATTTGAAGCACCAGCTAATTAAAACCACAGCTATGTATTTAGCCTCTTGTTATACCTACTGCAGTTTATAATTATGAGGACCTCTTTATCTACTCAATTAAAGTTCTTATGATTCAGGCAGGTTGTGTTTGAACCTGTGAGCCCTGCAGAGGCTGCAGAAAAGCATATGTCTATCCCCTGATGACTTGATGTGGCTTTATACTCCCAGGCTTGTTTTCAGAAGGAAAAAGTGCTCCATACCTACAAAGAAATGCTCAAGCCAGAAATCGGAATCATTCATCATATTATTGGTCTGAACAATCCGAGTTTATCCGCAGTAATGAGGACAGGATGAATCGGGCCTATCAGTGTGAAAAGCCATCTTCCTATTGAGAAGATAAGCCAAAGACTCAATGCTAGGACTTAGCACTCTTAGGATGTAAGGATGTTTTGTCAATACTTTTTTTCCTGGATATAATGAAATCTGTCACATTAGGATGATATGAAATCCACTGACTACTACTCCAAACCAAATTTACTCTCTGGGTTAATTAACCAAAGGTTTTTGTTTTCTCTCTCTACAGCCTATCTTTTGGAATCGCTAATTTGCTACATCCATACTAGCTGATAGACAAAGGACACAAAGAAGAAGAAGTTCCATTAAGGTCTTCTGTTAATCACTCTGGTACCAGGTATGATGCTGAGAAACTTCTCCCTATCATGGGGCTTTTATGGTGGCTGTGATTTTACCTGCATGTATGCTTCCCTGACCTCCCAAAACAGAAACTCTTCTTTTTACAGGAGGAAACTAAGGTACCCAGAAAATGATGGGAGCTATCCCAAGTTCTCATCAAACCAGTGGCAAAAGAAGATTTGAATCTGTTTTTCTTCCATCTTCAGGTTCAAGTAATTTCTTCTCCTTATTGTCTTCTCTCAGATGTTCCCCTATCCTTGTCCTTAAACTTGATCTTGTATGGAGGTAACCCTCATTTTGTATATAAGAAGCCCAAGCTACCTTCATGGGATAATAAAACCTAGGGCACATGTAGATTCACTAAAATCTAGAGAGTTCAATTATGCCATTTTCATTAGCTCACAGTGGTAACTCACTTGGGCAACAATGTAGGCTTGTCTTTTAGAACAGAGTTGTTAAAGCAAGAAGACACTTTAGTAATCATCTAGTTGTGGTGCCCTCATTTTACAGATGGGGAAATTAAAGTAAAAAAAAAAAAACATACTAGGCCCAGCAGGTTTGTGGCAGAATTAGGAGGCTGAAACCCATGTTTTCTGGTTCCCAAACTAGCTCTTTTCCCAATACTCATGGTTTATCCTTCTGCCTCTGGTGTTGCCATCACATTCCAGAATAAATATGAGCTTCATTTGTACTTCATTTGTACTCCGTTGGTCAACTTTACTTAGAATTGTATTTTATTAGAAATTGCCAGTAGGGAAAAACTTCAGGAATTTAATTTGGATTTTAGTATAGAAAAAAAATCAGTTTCCTTATATCAAAATGTACAGACCCTAAAGGGATTATAAAAATTAACTGCATCTGTGGGGAAGAGGCTGGGGTAGGGAGAGTAAAAACCAGTTTAAGCCTATTTGGCTTGAATACTTCATGAATCTCAATAATCATTGTTCACCTAATTTGGTTACTTTACAAAGCTACTTGGGGGAACATTTAAAACACTGATGTTTTAAAATGACAAGTTTGTTTTAAAATACTGCTAACTAATGTAGGATTTACTGCACTCTAGTCCAACTGCACTAAATGCCTCTGTTTTGGCTAACATCTTTGTAAAAGTATAAAAATACATATTTAATTCACCCAAGGGACAAACATACACTATAACTCACTCTTTCTCCTGAATGAATATATACATTCTATAAAATGTGTGGATTTTTATCCTCAGTCCATGTTCTAGAGTTTTTCAATATCAAGTCCTAGTTTGAATCGACACTTACTAATCTCTATATAGCTTATGCTTGTTAAGAAAAAATTCCTTCCATCCAACAGTTTCAATATCAACATCAAGTTACATATTTTCTCTGTTAATATCCATAAGCACCTAAACCTGAAGTGCTATATAAAAAACT